CTCTGGGTCCTCAGCATCAATCTGGTTTAGGTGGATGTCCTCTGTTGTAAGCCACTGGAAAACAACATCCTGGTTTTAAAAAATAAACTAGAATTAGATATCCAGTTACTTGAGAAAGCTGAGAGTCAGAACTAGAAAATCAATCAAGAGAAATGATAGGGGCCAACAGGTGGTGTGGTGGTTAAGGCACTGGACTCCCACATGGCTGACTGTGGTTTGAGTCCTAGACCTGGTGGTATGCTTTCTCACTTTCCCTGTCTCTGTCTCTGCCCCTCTGGTGAGCGCATGTGTCCCATAGCAAATTAAAAAATAATAATAAATTAAATTAAATAAATAATGTTTTAAAAACAAAAAGAAAAACTGAACAAGTAATTAGAGAAATGGCAGCTAGCCCTCTCTGGATGAAATCACATGAAAACTTAAAATATTGTCTTCACTCTAATATAATCTTTATTATCAGAAATTTACATTTCTTAGGATTCTCTAATATCTAACCACAAGCTAAAATTCATCAGAGCTTGCTCACAATTCCATAGCAATCTCTGTTTAAAATAGTGACAATCTGAACTTAAAACATGTGGATTCCGGGACCAGCAGTTGGCGTAATGGCTAGGTCGCTGGACTCCCATGTAGTTGACCGCAGTTCGGGTGGCTTAAACTCATGTCAGGCGCACGTGTGTGCGTGCCCAAGATCCCGAGAGGAGAATGGAGGAGAAGGGATTGCGGGGTGGCCATCCCCCCTGGGGGGTGATTGCTCGCTTTCTGTCTCTCTCTGTCTTTCTGGTGAGTGCACGCACCTTATAGCAAAAACCACTCAAAAAAGACAAAAAAAAAAATGTTGATTCCATAGAAATAAGATCCTAATTCACTTCTCAACATGACAACTAGAAGAGGTGAAGGAGGGCTAGCCAGTGGTGTGATGGCAGTTAAGGCAGCTAGATCCCACATGGCCGACTATACAGTTTGAGTCCCAGACTGGGCACCTTGAAAAACATGCTGGGTGCACAGATGTACGCGTGTGCCCAAAATCCTCTAAAGGAGAAACGGAGGAGAAACGATGTGGCATGGTCACCCCCACGGAGGGTGCTTTCTCACTCTCTCCGTCTCTCTCCAGTCAGCACAGACACCTTCCCGCAAATTTAAAAAAAGGGGAGGAGGGGCCCTGAAGGAATTTATTTCATTGCTGGAAAGGCTCAGCAAGAGTGTCCTCCTCAGAAAAGAGCACAAGAACCCCACAGTATGCAGCTCTGCATGTGCCATACACATGCTTGCCTCCCATGCTGTCACTCTTCACCAGTTGTTTCTTTGGCACTGCTCTGACATAGTCACTGCAGTATCTCTACCTATTCTGCTCTGTGGTCAGTGACCCACCCTATACATAACCTCCTACCTACCCATGGTGCCATCAGCCCCTCCTCTCCAGCACACCTTCCCTGCCTTAATGCATATCCTTATCCCTTCTTGCCTGGTTGCCTCTACCATCCTAAGTGACTCTTGGCTTCCTTTCTGCCTTCCACACAAATGACAGAGGGGTCTTTCTAAAACGGATCTGACTATGCCCCAAGGCTGATCGAAACCCCTCCAGAGGCTTCCCTTGGCATTCAGTATACAGCTCAAGCTCCTTGGCTTTGGACATGAGGCCCTTGTGGAGCCTATTCCTTACTACTTCTCTAGGGTCAGCTCCCATCTCAGCTTGGCAAGCTTAGATTCTGGATTTACTTCTCTGTCTCTCTTTCTCAGTGTACTGTAAACTTTTCAGAGCAGGAACCATGCCTGACTCAACTTTATATTCTTAGTTCCAAGCATAAAATGAGTGCTATGTAGCTGGTTTTAAAGGAGTAAATGAATTTATCACTGTTTAAATGATATGAAATCCATTCTTATGCACTCTATATTAACATGATGAAAAAAAAAAGCTTACCATGATTTTGCTGTTTTCTTCTTTATCCAAATATTGGTCACTGAACATGTGACATGAGCCAAGCACTGCCAGCTTCCCACCTTCATTCTGTTGATGACAGACCCACATCAGGTACTCAGGGCCCCAAATCCACGCATAGACCCTAGTCCCAAACACAATCACCACCATCGCACTAGGAGCTATCTTATGTACAGATAAGAGCTGATTCACATCAAGAGTTTAACACTGCAGAAACATCAGCTCCAGTAACAACTACATTTTAACCTGCTTCTTGAGTTAGACAGTTCTATATTCTTCTATTTAACAAAAAGTAACATAAATTGGTTGTAGAGCATTTTCCCATTGTTATTTATCTAATAAATGAAGACCATAAATTAAAAAAAAAACCCAAAGATAGTCTATAGAGAGTTAATGACACTTATGAGTACCAAAAAGTATTTAACTAAGACCTCAACAGAAAACTAAGCCACGAGCATGAAAATTCATCACAGAAGTAACTAGTTAATAAGAAAAAAATGTTCAATATTAGTAATTTCTTTAAAGATTTCTTTTTTAAGAATTATTTTGTTTAATTTTATTTATTATTCACTTTATTTTCATTTGACGAGAGAGAGAGAGAGAGAAAGTAAGAAAGCAAACCACCAGGTCTGGGACTTGAATCATGGTCAGTCACATGGGACTGTCCAGAGTCCTAACCACCATGCCACCTGCTGGTCCCAATATTAGTCATTTTTTTGGGGGGGGTGGTGGGGGAGGTTTTTTGCTATAGGACATGTGCGCTCACCAGACAGAGAGAGACAGAGAGAGAGAAAACAATAAATCATCCCCCGGTGGTGGTGGGGGGGCCAGGCCGCAATCTCTTCTCCTCCATTCTCTTCTGGATCTTGGGCAGGAACGCACATGCGCCCAGCGTGAGTTTTAAGTCACTGGGTCTGGGACTCAAACCGCAGTCGACTACATGGGAGTCCAGCGACATAGCCATTACACTAACTGCTGGTCTCAGTAATTAAAAAAAAAATACTTATTTATTTTATTTTTTTTTATTTATTCATTGATTTTTAAAATTTGACCAGAGACAGACAGAAGATGAGAGTGAGAGAGAGAGGAAGTGAGAAAGCAAGCCACCAGGCCTAGGACTCGAACCCCGGTCAGCCATGTGGGAGTGTCCAGCGCCTTAACCACCATGGTCCCCAGGCCCAGGAATTTTTTAACAAATCAACACAAAGTTCTTTTTCCTTTTTTTTTTTTTGAGAGTTTTTTCGCTACAGAGCACGTGTGCGCGCCAGACAGACAGAGAGAGACAGAGAGAAAGAAAGCGAGAAATCACCCCCCAGGTGGGATGGTCACGCCGCAATCCCGTCTCCTCCATTCTCCTCTCGGGATCTTGGGCACGCACGCACACACGCCTGGCATGAGTTTTAAGCCACCGGGTCCGGGACACGAACCGTGGTCGACTACGTGGGAGTCCAGCGACATAGCCATTACGCTAACTGCTGGTTCCCGAAAAAACCTCTTAAAAAAAAAATAAGAATAGTGGAAACCAGGACCAGCAAATGGAGTAATGGTCACGTTGCTAAACTCTCACGTAGTCAACAGCAGTTTGAGTCCCAGACCTGGTGGCCTAAAAGTCACACTGGGCGTGTATGCGTGCATACCCAAAATTCCAACAGAAAAATGGAGAAGGGATTGCGGTGTGACCATGCCCCCTGGGAGGCTGTTTCTTGCTTTCTGTGTTTCTGTCTGTCTCGTGAGTACACACACTCTAGAACAAAAATCTCTCTAAAAGAGAAAAAAGAGTAGAAACTTTTTCTTCTTTTTTATGAGAAAGGAAAAGAGTAACACACAGAAGGAAGAGATATTTTGGTTGCTGCATATCCAGCAACCTCCCTGAGTATGTCAGGTATATGCATGCTCATGATATAGGGCTGGCCAAGAATGGTGGTGGGTCAGTGTTGGGGCAGGGCCAGCTGGAGGCATGGTGGTTTTAAGGTGATTGGATCCCACATGGCCAACTGCACAGTTTGAGTCCTAATCTAGCAGCTTAAAAAAAACACACTAAAAACAAAATTAAATAAAGATCCTATTGAGGTGCTGTCTCTCTCTTAGTCTCTCGAAAAAAATAAGCTTCAAAAAGACAGCATAGGCTGGTGTGATGGAGGAGCGCTGGACTCTCACATGACCAACCATGGTTTAAGTCCTAGACCTAGCAACTTGAAAATCATATCAGGCGTTTGTGCCCAAAATTCTGAAAGAAGAATGGAGGAGAAGGGATTGAGGCATCACCATTGCCCCCCTGGGGGAGAGGATAATTTCTCACTTTCCCTCTCTCTCTCTTTTCTCTCTGTGGTGAATGCACACACCTTACAGCAAAAACCTAACATACACATATTTAAGTGTGTGTGTGCAACTGTAAAATAGCTGTATCTACATATCACATATACCTATTACCCAAGAAAAGCTATACCTTTGAGTGGTAGAAAGCCAGAATGGGTCTGTTAAGTGGGAAACAGACAGAACCTGTAGACAGAACAGCCACTGCTGGTTTCATGACACTCAGCGTTGCACCAAAAGGATAAACAAAGGTGAGAGCCCTGTAAAAAAAATTAATGAAATAACAATTTTATAATGAATGAATTTAAAAACTCTGAAAATAATCAGTTTCTTGCACAGCATTCTTGATTCACCATCGAACACAGTTTCCTGTAAGCTTTGGTTTATTAATTCAAAAACTGGATAACTTGGGACCAGCAGATGGCGTAACGGTTATGCCACTGGACTCCCACGTAGTTGACCGTGGTTTGAGTCCCAGACCCAGCAGCTTAAGCTCACCTGGGCGCATGATCGTGCATGCCCAAAATCCCGAGAGGAGAAGAGGAGAAGGGATTGTGGCATCCCCCCTGGGGGGTGTTCACTCACTTTCTGTCTGTCTCTCCACTGAGCACATGCACCCTATAGCAAAAATCTCTCTCTTAAAAAAACAAAACAAAAAAACTGGGCAACTCTAGCAATAAGTTCAACAAAATATTTTGACAAATATAAATGTAAACTTACAGGAAAAGTGTAAATGAGTGTAACTAGAAGAAATAAAGTAATACTTGTGGAGGAGGAAGAAGATGGGGTCTTGCCTAAGAGCTAACTGGAACCATATGTGAGCATGCCATCATCTCCCTCCTCCTGGGATCTGGCTGGTGCACTCCCTAGGAATTAACGTCTGTCACTGGAAGGGTATGTTACCAGTTGAATGCTGCATGAATCAAGGCACATATGTACCCCACACTGGACTCTTCTGTACAGACACTCCTTGGAGTCCTTCCTCTACTCTCTACTGTCCTAACAGAGACTTGAGGGTGTCTACAGTGAACTGGTCTGAGTTGAAGCAATATGCTCCTGGAGATAGTATGGGATGCAGGGGAGGGTTGAATGCAGACCTTGGATGAGACCAACCCATGTAGGAGGGCTAGAGTTTAACTGAAAGAAAGATGGAGCTCTGCAAAAGCAGCTGCTTAAAGGAAGTGCTCTCAGAACAGAAAGAAATAGAAATCTTAAGATCAGAGCAAATGGTTAGAAATTTCAGGGGATAAGGAATTGGTTAGATGATTTAGGATATATCCAATTTAATCTGGTCATTACAGAGGATAAGGTATTTACCCATACTTTTATATATGAAAAAGTTGGGCCCAAGGGAGATGGATCCCAGAAGGCCCACCATATGGTTTGAATCCCGGCCGAAGCAGCTTAAAAAACAGACAGGGACATGTGCGTGTGTTTCCAAAATCCCAACAAGACAGAGAAATGGAGAAGGAATTGTGACATAACCATGCTCCATTAGGGGTATGCTTTTTCTCTCCCCCTATTTCTCAGTCTCTCTCTGGCAAGTGCATGTTCCCTCTGGCAATTGAAAAAACAAAAAACAAAAAACAAAAAAAAAAAAGAAAAGCAGTCTGTGGCCCATCTGCAGTAGTGCAAATGGTTGACACTGCTACTTAGCAGGCTGAGGCCACAAGGGAGGCCAGGTTTTGACTCCTGGGCCATCATAAAAGCTGGGGATGGTGGCGCATGCCCTAAGTTCCAACTATTTGGGAAGCTGAAGTGGGAGGGTTTAACATTGAAAGACCCTGCCTTAAAAGGGAAAGAAGGAAAAAAGTAAAAACTCTAGAAATAAAATATTCCATACTGTTAAGACTAATTATCTTCATTATCTTCAGGGGCAGGGGCATGGATTAACAATGCAGAACTTGCAGTTTTTTCCTTTTGAACTTTTCAAATTGTTTTGTTGATTTATAATCAGAAACAAAAATTCTTTTCATTGTGAAAAAAAAACACACACACAACTCTTCAAAATAATAAACACCCTCCTGTGGGGTTCAGAAAACACACTCACTGGGCATTGTTTCCACTGCTCTCCTCATCGATGATTCCAGGCACGGCCTTTCCTGCAGCTCGGCTAATTTCCCTTGAAGAAAAAAATTAAATTTCAGTAATCAAAAATATTTAAAGGGTTCATACTACATTTATTAATATTAAGTACAGGGACTGGCAGGTGGTGTGGTGGTTAGGGGCATTAGACTCCCACATAGCCAACCATGGTTCAGGTCCCAGACCTGGTGGCTTGGTTTTTCATTTTCTCTCTCTCTCTTCCTCTCTGGTCAAACTGAAATAAATAAATAAGGTTAAATAAAATAATTATTTAAAAAATAGCAAGTACAAACAATATGTGAGAATTTTGCAGATGTCAAGATACAATATTTTATAACTAAAGTACATTAGAGGCCAGCAGGTGGTGTGATGGTTAAAGGCGCTGGACTCTCACATGGCCAACCACAGTTAAGAGTCCCAGACCTGGTGGCTTGCTTTCTCACTTTCCCCTATCTCTCTCTCTGTCTCTCTCTGATCAAACTGGAAAATAATAATAATAAAGTTAAATAAAAAATAATTATTTTTTCTTTTTTGTAGAGGTTTTTGCTACAGGGTGCGTGCGCTCGCCAGAAAGACAGAGACAGAGAGACAAAGTGCAAGAAATCACCCCCCAGGGGGAATGGACATGCCGCAGTCCCTTCTCCTTGGGATCTTGGGCATGCATGCACACGTGCCCAGTGTGAGTTTAAGCCACCAAGTCTGGGGACTAAAACTGCAGTCGACTACATGGGCGTTCAGCGACATAGCCATTACGCTAACTACTGGTCCCAGTGAAAAATAATTCTTAAAAACAAAAACAAACCAAAAAAAAAAAAACAAAACAAAAAACAACCTGGGACCAGCAGGTGGCAATGGCTATGTTGCTGCACTCCCATGTAGTCAACCATGGTTCAAGTCCCAGACCAGGTGGCTTAAACTCACGTTAGGCGCATGTGTGTGTGCTCAAAATCCTGAGAGGAGAATGGAGGAGAAGGGACTGCAGCATGGCCATTCTCCCCGGGGGTGTGGGTGTGGGTGGGTGTGATTTCTCACTTTCTGTCTCTCTGTCTCCCTCTGTCTTTCTGGCGAGCGCACGCGCTCTATAGCAAAAACCTCTCAAAAAAAACAAAACAAAACAAAACAAAAACTAAAGTACACTCATACACACCTCTCTGGGGAGGCTTGCAAAAGTTAACATTAAAATATTAGGATGGGGACAACAGGTGGTGTGGTGGCTAGGGGTGCTAAACTGCCGACCATGGTTCAAGTTCTGGACTGGACAACCTGCTTTCTCAGTTTCCCTCTCTCTCTCTATCACACTCTCTCTCTAATCAAATTTTAAAAAATAAAAAATAAAAATAAATAAATAAATGAGGTTAAGAAAAAAATTACTTAAAAAATACTAGAATGAGGGAACAGCAGATGGTGTAATGATTACTTTGCTGAATTCCCATATAGCCAATTGCAGCTTGAGTACGAGACCTGGCAGCTTAAAACTCACATCAGGCATGTGTGCCAGCATGCCTAAAATCCCAAGAGGTGAATGGAGAAGAGACTGCCACATGTGTTCATAGCTATGTCTATATCAGTTGAACTTACTATTGAAAGTATTTAAATTAATTAAGATATTTTGTGAATCAGTACAATGTGGGAAATAATAAAGGAATAGAAAAAAAAATAGAAAAAAAAAGGAATAGAAAGCAACTGCAGAAACCAGACACAGAGTGGGAGGAAGATGGGAAATGGCAGAGGGTTAGAAATAGAGGGGAAAATATATAAATATACCAGAAACAAGAAATAGAAAATTATTTGTTGACGATAACATGTATGATTAAGCTACTTTACAGTGTATTCTGGCTGGAAAATCGCATTTTGTATGTTGTGGTGATGTCCAGTGAAAGTATGTAAAATAAATAAATAAATGAAAGAATAAATAAAATTAAATACATAATTTTTTTTTAATGGGGAAAAATAAATAAATAAAATAGAATTAGGATGAATTCCTCCTTCTTGAATCCTGAGGAAAAGGTCCATATTCTAGAGCCACATTCTAAACTCTCAAACCTCAGAGCCATCAGCATGCCTGGGATATAGCATGGAATGAATACTTTTTTTCTTTGTAAGATAAAGAGAGAGAGAAAGAAAAAGGTGAGAAAGAGAGGAGAGACAGAGATCAGTATCTTTGGCAAGGTCTTGTTGTAATAATCCTGTTGCCCAAGTCTCCCATTTAGCCAGGATCACAGGTGCAAGTAACCACATTCAGTGTACTCGAGTTGGCCTGGAACCAAACCTGGGGCTCTCACGCAGCTTCCACCTTCCCAAGCAGGAAGCTACCAGTGCATGACCCAGACTGGGCCGGGAATCAGTAATTTTGAACATGGGGAAAAGCTCATAAGTTCTCCCCTCACACATTCCTTTCCACTTACCAAAAACCCCTAATTTATGTTTGTGGGTCCAAAACAGAAAGCTGACTCTATCTCAGGCTGCAGGGGGTGACCTAGCAATGCCATCAGTGCCTTCTAGGTCCTCTGCCAGTTCGAGGTGGGCATGTAGTCTTGGACAGCTCAACGGAGCAACCTCAGTACTACTCTTGCTAGGAATGCTGGCACAAAGGCATGCTCTCTTGCCCTAGCTGCTGTGGCATTTGATAAGAATTTGGAAACTGGTAAACTATTCAGCCCACACAGACAGGAGAGCAGAACTAAGAGAACTACAGAGAAATGGAACTGAGGCCCTGATGTCATGAATCTTTCTGTCAATTAATACTCAGTTAGGGGCCTGGCAGGTGGGATGGTGGTTAAGGGCACTAGAATCCCACATATTCGACCGTGGTTTGAGTCCTGGACCTGGCAGCTTGCTTTCTTATTTTCTTTATCTCTCTCTCACTCTGTTCCTCTCTGGTCAAATTAAAATAAATAAATATGGGGACCAGCAGGTGGCATGGTGGTTAAGGCACTGGACACTCCCACATGGCCGACCATGGTTTGAGTCCCAGACCTGGTGGCTTGCCTTCTCACTTTCTCTTTGGCCAAATTAAAATTAATTAATTAATTAATTAAATTTAATTAATAATTCTTTAAAATAAATAAAGTTAAATTTAAAAAAATACCCAACTACTGTCCTATTTCTGGGCTTTTTGATGACATGAATCAATAGTCTTCTAATTGTTTAATCCCGTTTGAATAGGGTATTCTGTTACCTGCAACTGAAAATAGTCTAACTGACCAAAACTTGAATGTGAAATAAACTTTCAAAAGATGAGAGAAATATAACTTGATGAATGAGAAGTAGTAATATAAGAAAATAAATGAAGACTTTTTGAGCCGCTCTTTCTCTATCCACTCAGGCCCACTCCTACCTCTCAGGAGTGTACTTTCACTTTAACTTAATAAACTAACACTTCCTTACACCAAACAAAACAAAACAAAAAAAAAGAAAAGAAAAGAAATGATGAGAAAATGGAACAAGGAAGAAAGGAGAAAGGGGTAGTAAGAAGCATGTGTAAGAAGAGATGAGGGAAGATCCATGTAGGGGGTGATGGTCATTTGTAATGGCATTTCTGGTTTTCGCCATGCTTACCTGTTTAAGACTCCATTGGAAACCAGAGCTTCTTTAGGATGGAAATACTTATAATACACATTTCTAACCACAGCATCTTCAAGGAAAAAAGAGAGGAAGGTACATTTCAGATTAAAAATAACTTTGATATTATAGGCTCATACAAATTTTGACCTGAAAGTCTTTTCCAATCCCTCTCATTTTATAAATGGAAGAAGCCTAGACCCACAGGTTAGATTGCTGGTGAGACCAGAATGGTGGACCAAGCCCGGAGCTTTTTCCATTGTACCACTGGGCACAGAGGGCTATGATATGAATAACAAATAGGATACTATTACCATGATTAAAGTAACAATAATAACAATAATTACCATTATTAACCATGATTCCATATTCTTCTAGCAGAAAGTTGATATTAGTGTCAAATCTGGATTCTCCACCTTCTCCTAGCATCACAAGGATATCTCCACCACTGTCAAGGTACTTCTTCAGGACTTCAAACTACACAAAGGAATAAGTATATTGAAAAGACTTTTGTCCAAAATATTATGAATAAGACCTCACTTAGATGAAAAATAAAAAGGCTTTTGTCCAAAATACTCTAAGGCCTTACCTAGCTGAAAAATAAACACTTTGAATGTATAAAGCAAAAAAATATAAATGTATATAAAATTTATTCTCTACATAGGACTTTCAAGGTTGTCTTTTTTTTTTTTTAAGTCTTCTTCTTCAAGCTTGTCTTCTGAGCATAAAACTCCAAAATACTAAAACTGAACATTTTCAAAGTTGATTGGATACTAAATCGAAAGTGGAAAACTATTCACTAAAAGGAGCTCAGAGCTCTTCTTTCACCAGCGCCCCTGGTCTCCACCTACCAGTTGTACTTAGCTCCTTTGACAACCAAAGCTCCAAACATTTCCAGATGTCCCTTGGGAGAAGAGGAGGAAGCAAAATCAGCCCTGATTAAGAATCGCTAATCTAAACCATGCCTTACCACTGCCTGCAAGGGATATCAGGATGAAGGCATTTCATATCAGCCCAGGAAGGAATTCTGTTCATGGTCATCTTGGTCATCTGACTAAGCCATAGGGAGAGATGCATGTTTCCTGCTTATCTGCTGGGAAGCTCTCTCTTGCTTTTACAAAGCTGGGGGGAGAGAGAAATCTGGGGCTGATCTTGCTGAGCCAGCCTTAGAAACCCTAAAGTGGGCGGTCTAGTAGTTTATCAATCTTCTTAATTAAGTACCCCATTAGAGAAAAAACTGAGTATGTATTCCGGTATGTATATATTTGTTTATAAAGTATGTTTATTTATAACTTAAAACATATTCCTGGGCCAGCCAGTGATGTGGTGGTTAGGGTGGCTGAATCCCACAAGACTGACTGCATGGTTTGAATCCTAGACCTGGTGACTTGAGAAACACACTGCGCACGTGTACATGCATGCCCAAAATCTAGGGATGAGGGTGGGAGAAAAGGGGTTATGGCGGGACCACCCCACCTGGTGAGGTACTTTCTCACTTTCCTTCTCTCTTTCTCTCTCTCCAGCAAGCACACACATCCTTTAGCAAAACTAAAAACAAAAGAAACTACCAAAAAGAAAATGTTTTAAGGATAAAAAAAATATGAATTGACTAGCACTATAGCTAGTGGTTAAGAGAGCTAGATCCCACATGTTTGACTGTGGTTCAAATCCCAGCTTTATCGGTTTGAAAAACACTTCAGATACATGTGCATGTATGCCCAAAATCTCAACAGGATAGCAAAATGGAGACGGCACTGTAGCCACTGAGGGGTTCTTTCTTTTCCATGTCTCTGGAGAGCGCACACACATCCTCTAGCAAAAAACAAAAAACAAAAAACAAACAAACAAAAAAAAACAAGAAATATTCAGTCGTATGTACATGCCACATTTTGTGTATCTATTTATCTACCAATGGACTCTTGGGCTATTTCCATCTTTTGGCTACTGGGAAGAGTGCATGTGAAAATGGGTATATGAATGTATCTTCAATATCCTGCTTCCGGTTCTTTTGGATATATACCTGGAAATGAGATTGGTAGATCATTTGGCAATTCCATTTTTAACTTTTAGAGAAACTACCATACTGTCTTCCATGGTGGCTATACCATTTTCTATTGTCCCAAAAGTGTAGAAGAGTCAATTTTTCCACATCTTCACCCACACTTCTTATTAGTGCTCTGGGTTGTTCATTTATTATTATTTATCTATTCCATGAAACAGGATAAAAACCAGCTTAATTTTAAATGGAATATTCCTATTTCAAAGCAGAACTGGTAACCAGCAGTTAGCGTAATGGCTATGTCACTGGACTCCCACGTAGTCGATCACAGTTCGCGTCCCAGACCCAGTGGCTTAAAACTCACGCCGGGCGCGTGTGCGTGTGTGCCCAAGATCCCGAGAGGAGAATGGAGAAGAAGGGATTGCGGTATGACCATCCCCCCTGGGGGGATGATTTCTCGCTTTCTGTCTCTCTGTCTCTCTCTGTCTGTCTGGCGAGCGCACGCGCCCTATAGCAAAAACCTCTCCAAAAAAAAGCAGAACTAAGACAAAGAAGTGTGGCTAATATTGAACTAGCCACACTATGTTCCTGGCACATTGCACAGGTATCTCAGTTAATCATCAGAACCACTCCATGATAATGACAGAGATGAAGGTGACACTGTAAGCCAACACAGTAAGTGAAGGCGGATTTAAATCCGGGATTTCAGAGCCCATGCTTTTAGCTACCTCACTGTATTTCTTCTTCACGAATATTTCTTACCTCAGCTGCCGTAAATTTTTCCCTTGGCCCAGCTGTAATCCATAGTTTCACCCCAATTAGCTTCTCAGACGTGATTTCATCTTTTAAGCTAGAAATAGGATTTTAAAAGCAACTGTTAGAGCCATAATTTATACCAATTTATGAATTAGTTTAGCTCTCAACTACACAGAATCAAAAACCACAGAGGCCAAGAGATGAAGGGAGTTAGAGGTACCTCATCCAGCTTCTCTCTCCCAAAATGAGAATCCCCCTCGACAGGCCTGCCTCAGGGTCATTGGGTCTCTGCTTAACACATCCAACAGGCCAAGGTATTCCAAATAACCCTGCTAGAGCACAGAGAAATCTCCCAACTACTTATTCAATCAGCTCTACTATTAGCTTGGATGATTACCCATTAAGAAATGCCATACACATATATACAATATTCTCATTTACTTTTCATTTTTCCTTTCCCT